TAATATGCAATATGCAAATTCCAAAGTAATTGGCAGAAACAAAATTGGTGTTAACATGTCTTGACATATGCAACAATGTTATCTCATAAATTTCAATGACTTCTATCACTTTATTATGACTTGTGCTTTATTCATCTAGGGGCCTATTAAGACTAATTTCATGATCACACTATGTTCTGGGGCAAACGGTGATGAGAGACCGAACCAAACCAATTAGCAGCTAACATTTCTCAGTAGAATACATATAAGAGTGTTTTGTAAAGCCGTGGAAAATAATATGGTAGCTGCCTCACAGGGAGGGCCTGTCAAAACAGCTTCTTTACATAAGTAAAGCAATGGGGATTTTGAACTATGGGTTTCACATCTAAAAATGTCTATATATAATTAGCACAAGACGCAGGTGGGGACTAGTTTCATTTCCAAAGCCATGCAATATGAAATTTCAGAGGGCATAACTGGAGAATGGATAATGACTAGTATTAGTCTGATTGCCTTCAAAACAAGTCTCTGCATCATAACTGGATTAATGCCACTTTACCTGTGATTGACTTTCCTGTAGTTATAGTTTGACAATACTGCTGAGTATCCAAGATCCAAGCTAAGTAAGGTTAGCTGGGGTTAGTACTTGCGTGGCAGACTGCCAACAAATACCAGGTGCTGTCAGCTACCTTTCAGAGGAAAGGGCTGGCAAAACCACTTCTGAGCACTCCTCACCTAATAAAACCCTATGAAATTCATGGGGTCACCCTAGATCAGTGGTTCCCAACCTGTGGGTCCCCAGATGTTTTGGCCTTCAACTCCCAAAAATCCTAACAGCTGGTAAACTGGGATTTCTGGGAGTTGTAGGCCAAAACACCTGGGGACCCACAGGTTGAGAACCACTGCCCTAGATCAACAGGCGAACTGAAGGCACATGTAGTGATTACAAGCACCTAAGCTGAAGCCTTCTGGCCAAACCAAGTACTGACTAACCCAGCATCTTGTAAACACCTTGGTTATAGATAGGTCATGATTTCAATAGTCCTTTCTTAGTTGCTGTGAGTTTTCCAGGCTGTATGACATTTCATTCACATCTATGGCAGGCATCCTCAGAGGTTGTGAGGTCTGTTAGGAACTAGGCAAGTTAGGCTTATATATCTCTGGAATGCCCAGGGTGGGGGAAAGAACTCTTGTCTGTTGGAACCAAGTGTAAATGTTGCAATTGGCCACCTTGATTCACATTTAATAGCCTTGCAGCTTCAAAGCCTGGCTGATTCCTGCCTGGGGGAATCCTTTGTTTGCTGGTTAAGGAATGCAACAAAAGCTCTAACAACAAGGAGGTATTCAGCTCAAGGTTGTGGAATTTGGGAGTACAGCTCTAGCCTGATAAGCCTCCAGCTGTGAAATCCTTGAGACACGCAAAAGGTCTCCTGAACTGAAATGCTTTGCAGTGTATGCCCAGATCTTGCCTAAAGCATTGTAGCATTGTGCCCCAGAGTCTTTGGTCCAACACTTCAAAACCAGTACGCACATGACTCTATACATCAGAGGTCCTCAAACTAAGGCCTGAGGGCTGGATGCAGTCCTCTAAGGTCATTTAAGTGGCTCTCACTCAGGGTCAACCAAAGTCTGAAATGAATTGAAAGCACACAACAACAACAACAATCCTATCTCATCAGCCAAAAGCAAGTTCACACTTCCCATTGAAATACTAATAAGTTTATATTTGTTAAAATTGTTCTTCTTTTTCATCTTTGTATTAATTTTGAGTGTTTTTTGCACTACAAATAAGACATGTGCAGTGTGCATAGGAATTCATCATGCTTTTTTCAAATTATAATCCGGCCCTCCAACAGTTTCAGGGACTGTGACCTGGCCCTCTGTTTAAAAAGTTTGAGGACACCTGCTATACATATTAACCTGGGAATAAGCTCCATTGTGTTGCCTTTTAAATGGGTGTGTTCCAAACTATTTTTAATTCTGGAGATAGTATATGTTTATGAGTGAAACAACTCTTTTATAAAGCTGTATGAAGCACTTACCATTTTCTTTATTCCCTTTTCATAAGCTGCTTTAATTTCCCACCTTGGGCAAAAAGAGAGATGAATAAACAAGAGTATTGCTACTGGGTTGCTGTAACCTCACAACCCACTGAGGATGCCTGCCATAGATGTAGGTGAAATATCAGGAGACATTGCTTCTGGAACATGGCCATACAACCCGGAAAACTCACAGCAATCCAGTGATTCTGGCCTTGAAAGCCTTCGACAATGGTATTGTTATTGTCACCACCAGTGATACTAAGAATACAATGCCTGTAACTAGAAAATATTTTAATGTTGCATCTGATTATCTTTATTTTACTTTCCATAAACTGCCTTTGTTTTCAGTGTTGGGGAAAAGGAAAGATATGGATAAACAATGTTATTATTGTTGACACAATCAGTATTAATAAGAATACATTTTCTATAACTATAAAAGTAACTAAAAGTTACCCTTGAAATGAGTATTTTCCTTAAAAATTAGAAAAAGCATTATAATGTAGTTATTATTAGAAATAACACAAACTCATCATGGTGTAATGGTTAGAGTGTTTGACTATGAATCTAGATACCAGAATTCAACCCCTTGCTCAGCCATGGAAACACATAGAGTGACCTTAGGTGAGTCACACACTTGCATCTCCATAAGCCACATGATAGGATTGTCTTAGGATCACCGTAAGTTGGAAACAACTTGAAGATGCACAACAACAGGCACCTGATCCTACTTGATCTTGGAAGCTAAGCAGAATCAGCCCTTGTTAGGACTTAGATGGGAGACCACCAATAAATAACAAGTACTGTAGGCTCTGTTTCCAAAGAAGGAACTGGGAAAACCAGCTCTGAGTATTCCTTAATTAAGAAAACCCTATGAGACCAATGTGACAACTAACAGGCAACTTGAAGGCGAAACACATAGACACATATATCTGCACACAGTAAGACATTTATTCCAAGCTTTGATTTTCAGCAGATCTACACTGTACACATAATGCAGTTTGACACCACTTTTACTGCCAGGGCTCAATGCTATGGAAACTGCTCTGATTGGTTGGTGTTCACAGGCTTGTTCCTCATTGGCTGGAAGGGAGTAATGCCTTTTCCTAACCATTGTTTAAAGCTCACATGTAGAGCAAACAAGACTTTCTTCTGCTCATTTGGAGCTGAGTCACTGAGCTTTTTCAATGGAAACTGTAAGTTGTTTTTGGAGCCAGAAGGGCTGGAGAATAAATCTGTTGATAATTTGTGAGATATCTTTTTTTTTTGTTTATTTGTTTTAATGATTAAATTAGATGACTTCTGAACATTTTAATGCTACCTCTAAATGGTATCAGATGCTGAAAAATGCTGAATTAAAGATATTTGGAGTGCAACTACACAGTTTAGAATTAACACAGTTTGGTCCCACTTTAACTGGCTCCATACTGTGGGATCCTGTTTTATCTGTAATTGATTTTGATTATGTCTCTGTTTTATCTGTAATTTTTTGGGCTTGTACCTTTGTAAGCCACCCTAAGTCCCCTAGAGGAGATGGTGGCGGGGTATAAAAATAAAATTATTACGTTATTATTATTATTATTATTATCCTGGGATTTGCTATTTGTTGAGGCACCAGCACTGCATTAATTGTACAGTGTAGATGATGAACCCTTGGAAGATTTTTTTTTGTTATTTTTTTTCTATTCCAGGTTTGAAAGTGTTATTTCCTTTTAAATTGTATTGAAATTAGGTACTTACTTTGAAAATAGTTTCCCACAAACTACGTTGAATTGGTTTAGACTCTTATGAGATATTTATTGAAAAATTAGAGCAAAATGTGCCGCAAGATGTCCTTCCCACAAAAACAAAGTTTTTGTAGACTGATAAAACCAATTAGGAAATGATATTTATAACTCAGGGACAAAAATTGTGTTACATAGTGTTATTTGAGAGACTCAATGTACAGTGCATTCTTGGTATCCACTGGAATTTAATTCCAGGATCTACTGTGGATACCAAAACCTGTCATTTCTCAAGTCTTGTTATATGCAATTGTGTAATAAACTCTTTATATATATATATAAAATAGTAAAAACAAGGTTTGCTCTTTGGATTTTTTTAAAAATTCAAACCATGCATAGTAGAATTCATGGATACAAAGGCTAATTGCAATGTTTTTTTGTTTTTTTCTAAATCCCAGAACTCTTGAATATTGCTGTTATAAAAGATAAAGGTTTCCCCTGACATTAAGTCTAGTCATGTCTGACTGGGGAATGGTGCTCATCTCCATTTCTATGCCGAAGAGCCAGCATTATCCGTAGACACCTGCAAGGAGTGCCTTTACTTTCCCGCAGAAGCGGTACCTGTTAATCTACTTACACTTGCATGTTTTTGAACTGTTAGGTTGGCAGAAGCTGTGCCTGATAGTGGGGGCTTACTCCGCTCATCAGGTTTGAACCACCAACTAGCAAAATGAAGTTCAACAGTGACAAATGCAAGATACTCCACTAAGGCAGAAAAAAAATGAAATGCAAAGATACAGAATGAGGAATGTGTGGCTCGAGAGCAGTACGTGTGAAAAAGATCTTAGGGTCCTCATGGACAAGTTAAACATGAGCCAAAAATGTGATGCGGTGGCAAAAATGCCAATGGGATTTTGGCCTGCATCAATAGGAGTATAGAAAAGTAATACTACCCCTCTATTCTGCCTTGGTTAGACCACACCTGGAATATTGTGTACAATTCTGGGCACCACAATTGAAGGGAGATGTTGACAAGCTGGAATGTGTCCAGAGGTGGGCAACTCAAATGATCAAGGGTCTGGAGAACAAGCCCTATGAGGAGCGGCTTAAGGAGCTGGGCATGTTTAGCCTGAAGAAGAGAAGGCTGAGAGGTGACATGGTAACCATGTATAAATACATAAGAGGAAGTCATAAGGAGGAGGGAGCAGGCTTGTTTTATGCTGCCCTGGAGACTCGGATGCAGAACAATGGCTTCAAACTACAAGAAAGGAGATTCCATCTGAACATGAGGAAGAATTTCCTGACTGTGAGAGCCATTCAGCAGTGGAACTCTCTGCCCCGGAGTGTGGTGGAGGCTCCTTCTTTGAAGCTTTGGAAACAGAGGCTGGATAGCCATCTGTCAGGGGTGCTTTGAATGCAATTTTCCTGCTTCTTGGCAGGGGGTTGGGCTGGATGGCCCACAAGGTCTCTATGATTCTATGGTCAGCAAGTTCAGCAGCTCAGCGGTTTAACCCGCTTGCCACCAGGGCCCCCCTTTTAAAACATAACTTGCAATTAACCAAAACACAGAGAAAATTGTGTTATTCAGAGGCAGAACATTGATTCTGTGACAAAACTTCAAAAGCTACATATTTTTGGAACCCATTGCTCTCTGTCCTAATCTGTGGAGCAGTAGATAGTAAGCCTGTCCTTCCAAATGATATCTTCTCAAATACTAAAGCATGGTTATCACATACCCAACTCCACAACCATTCCTCATTGGGCTTAGTTTCCAGACGTTTGATCATTTTGGTTGCCCTTCTCTTGACACCTTTCAGCTTGTCACTATCCTTGAAGTGTGGTGCCCAGAACTGGACACTGTGCCATTCCAGGTCCAAACATCTGACTTTCAAACAATTCATAGTGAAGAATGGGGGGTGAAGGGTGGAACAAAAGGAAGTGAAAACAATCTACCCTTTGGAAGGGAAATTCATTCTTATCAAGGGGAAAGGGGGTCTCCACTGAAGAGTTATAACCAATATTTGTTTCCACAACAAGTCAATTTTTTTTCAAAATCTAATTCTCACAGAGCAGGAAGTGAGGTGAAATCTTCTGAACAGGGGCACAGACAGCAAAACAAACACCAGAGGGGTGTTAACCCATCAGCTGAAGTTACACTTTAAATATGCACCTGTTCCACCTTATAAACAAATTCAGCTTAAGAACAAACCTACAGAACCTATCTTGTTCGTAACTAGGGGACTGCTTATATCAGCATTGCTTGAGGGAGTTGCTTTGCCATACATGAAAAAAGGGTCTAATCTGGTTTTTCGATCTGACGGCCAGTGACTAAACCTGAAAACTCTTAGTTCCAAAGACTAAACTGATACAGACATTCCTAAAAGAGGCAGCCTTGGAACTGTGAAAGGGATTCTGGCAGTTTCCAGTGGAAGAACTCAAACAAGGAGTCATAGTCTTCCTTTACTGATTAACCTCACAAAGATAGCTTATAATGAACATAAATTCCAGGTGAGTCACTCTTTCTCTCCTTCACTCACTCAGGTACCTTTAACCTGATTTCATCAAATTTCAGAAGCTCCTGGTGGTGCAATGGGTTAAACCCTTGTGCTGGGAGGACTGCTGACCAAAAGGTTGGCGATTCAGATCTGGGGAACAAGGTGAGCTCCCATCTGTCAGCTCCAGCTTCCCATGTGGGGACACGAGAGAAGCCTCCCACAGGATAATAAAACATCTGGGTGTCCCCTGGGCAACATCCTTGCAGATGGCCAATTCTCTCACACCAGAAGCAACTTGCAGTTTCTCAAGTCGCTCATGACATGAAAAAAAGTCATGTGGATCTTTTGGTCTTATTCAGCATGGCTCTTCTGATAACATCATAGCTACTTTCTTATCCTCTATGTCCTCTACCTTCAAGTTGATGTCAACTTAGGACGACCCTATCATAGGGTTTTCTAAGCAAGATTTATTCAGTGGAGGCTTGCCATTGCCTTTATCCTGGCTCCTTATCCCTCACCCTAGTATTATGCTGTTGGGGGGCAACCCAATATTGCATGATGTTTAGAGGAAGTGACAGATGACACTGAAGTACTGCTATGAAGAAGATTGAGGCAGCTACCTCAAGCAGCACATGGTGTGTGTGTGTGTGTGTATTGAATAGAGGAAATAACTCTTCTCTCTGAGCCTTTGGTTCAGAAGACCAAACTGTTGTTTGTTTCAGGTTCTGTTTTGCATCATTATACAACTACTAGGGTTGAATGAAAAGTAATGCCTCCACCTTCGTTACTTGTGTTTGGATGGAAATATTTTAATAAATCAAATGCAGAAATAATCCTTAGAATGTGCTCTTTAACTATCACTATTCACTTTTCCACATAATCACCAGACAATTGAATACATTTCTGCCAATGATGAACAAGTGTTCTGAAGCCATCACAGAAGTCAGCACTCTGTTTCCAAAACCCATCTTCCGATAGCCAAGCAAAGCAATAATGTGGCCCACACAGGAAATTCTGAAATTCTCATGGTGGTCCACGCAGAGGCCTTACTGGTGCATTATTTAAACTGTTATGTTTATTCATATCATGATCTGATCACCATACTCAATATATCCCATATGCATGGGGGTATTGGGGTAACGATACAAAAGGTTTGGTAGGGTGGACCCTCTTTCATTCAGACTTAGCCCCCCCCCCCCCCCCGAATCAAAATCCTGGCTACGGGCCTGGGCCCACACGTTCTTGTGAAATGCCAATTATGCTTGAAATTTCTCTCTGAATGATATGGCCATTGTCCTGAATCAATCTGTCAACCTTAGCTTGTAAAATTCGGTGGTTGCTGTCACAGGATGTCCAACTCTTTGTTAGTCACACAAGTCTGATGTTACCACCACAACATCTTTAAACTTACTCACCCAACGACACACAGTACTCACATCAACACAGTCATCACAAACAGCTTGCATTTTCTGATGAATCTCCTTTGGGGTGACACCTTCTGCTGTCAAGAATTCAATGGCTGCTTAAGTTGCATTGACCGACAATCTGCGCAGGGTTCCATACTTCACACTTTAACAACACAACCATTCAATACTAAGGCTTCCTGCCAAATGGAACTGTAGAGGAGAGTCTACTGAACAAGCCAGTACC